GTTAGCTTGGTATCAAAACGATAGAGCATATTGATGGTTAAAACAAAACTGCTAAGTTTTTGGGCTAAATTCTTCATGATGTTTTTTCTAACTTAAAATTTAAAATGACCTCAACAAAGTAAATGGCTAGTCATTGGCTCTCTAGATCTGGCATTGTTTCTCTGATGTAACTCAGAATACTTAGTCTTTTCACTTGTATTTTAGGATTATGAATGGCAGTTCTTGACTGGCAAAACCAATCCATGTATCGATTTTATTGCTGGGTCTTCACTGAGAATTTAATAAGTCTCAAAATAATTCCCATATTTCAGCCTGCACCCAGATACCACACCGTTTTTGAAAGCCTCTCCTTCAAATCTCACCATATACAACATTTCAGGAAAGTGGGAGAAGTTACAGGAAAATTTCCTCCTTCTCAGAAAAACAAAATACATTTTCACAATAATCATTTTTGGAAATGGAAAAATGCCACCTCATTTATGAGAATACCAAGGTTCTCCACCTGTCAGGCCTGACACCAATTCAGCTGCAAAAGCTTCAGACATTTTTGATTCTCCATGTGTTGCGAATAAGTGGCATACATACTGATTTGCACAGAAAACCATAGAGAGCCCTCTCCAAGGAGAGCCAGCATTTTGACGAGGCTAAATGACAAGGTGGAAGGACGGGGGTAGGAACTATTGCTTCTTGTTGTCCTTCCACCCAGGCAGATCTTGTGCTAGGCTGCTGAGAGCTGCCACCTTAAAGTATCATTTGCAATTTAAATTTCTTGTAAAACACTTAGAAACTAGGGGACACAGAACTGCTAATGGAGATTCTAGGGAAGGGGCCATCACTAAATCACCCAGAAGACTTAGAAGTTCTGAAAGGACATCAAGAAAGTGGTCAGTCGAAAAGACAGCAGTTTAAACAAAATTTTTAAAACATCTAAGCATAAACACATTGACATCCTCATGGAGTCAGGTAGTCAGTATCTGTATTTTTATCACTAGGTGTGGTTATCACCTTTGAGGTGAAAAAGGATTCGTTTTGATGCTATAATAGAGTTGTAGTGGGAAAAGACCCTTGGTATGATGAAGAAATCAAAATATTGTATCATTTTAGTGTTACAGTTTTTCTTTTACAGATTGAGAATTATCCTGTGTTTCACCTTAACAGATTTTCATGAAACTTGCATTACCTGCCTCCAAGATGTTCTGCACATTTTCAACCCTTCTCTAGCCTGTAACTCACGTGTTTCTCTCCTGCCTCTCAGCAGATGATCTTGCTTTACTTAAAAGACACATTTCCCTTCTGCCCTTCGGTTTTCTTCTGCCTTCTCTAGACTTTGCTTCAGCAGTCTTCTCATTCTTTTTCTCTGTTTTCAACCTCTCTTTCCTCTGGCTTATTCTTGTCAACCTATAAATCAGATGTCTAAGAGAAAGCCTCGCTTAGACCTTGTGAGTTATGGCTTTTTCTCTCTTCATCCCTTATCAAAAGCTCTCAGAGTGCAGTCCACACCACTGGCTCCTCACTCATTGCCCCCAAAGCTCCTTGCCATTGATGGCTGAAATTATTTTCTCAGAGATCTCCAAGGATTCAGTGGCATTTCTCAATTATCACATTCCTCTACTATAAGGGTGTGTGTGTGTGTGTATGTGTGTGTGTGTGTGTGTGTTTTCATCTGTTTGAGTGTAAGATCATATATGCTTGTATCTTGTATTATCAATTTGAAAGACAAAGTGAATTTTCTCTAGCTACAACATCAGGTAGGAAGAGGGTATGCAAAGGAGAAGGAACTCCAAGCCACAAGCAAAGCGTGAGAATCTGCCACTAAAACATGAGTGGAACTTAAGTAAGATAAAGACGAAATGGCCAAATCCTCTGATAAAATCAGAGGTTTAAGAAATCGGATTGCATCTTTTCCCCTTCCTATCCACAGGATGTCCAGAGTGTTTTCCTCTTGTGGTCCCAGGAACTCTCATCTACATGGGCATTGACTTTTAGTCCTGCCTTGAACCAGGGTTATCCTTACAAACCTAGCAAGGGGTGGGCAGAGCTGGTATGAGCATGTCCACAGCTGTCCCAAAGACTCTCTCCTGGGGAGGTGCTGAAGAGATCCTTGGACATTGCATGTAAGATTGAGCCCTGCCAGGGAGGTAATTAAATGAGGTTTTTAAAAGCCCCAAGCTCAGCAGCAGAGTGGGTGGCTAATTTCCTGACTCACCTATTCGACTCATTTGTGTTCCCAGCAAAATACTCCCTCTTATAGGACACACTGCCTAGCTTTATTTTAAAACTGTTCCATTTCTTCACAGGGTAGACAGGAATGTGCAAAGTAACAGTTTTCTCTTTTGTGTGGGATATCATTTATGAAATGGAGTTCAGTTCTTTGTTCAAAAGGCATTGTGCGAATGTCAGAGCAGTTCTGAACAAAACTGGATATTCAATTAAAAGCCTTTCCTCTTAAAAGCTCAAAGCTTTTGTTGGATAGATGCAAAGTCCATCCCCCTAGCGCAGAAGGGTTCTGTAAGTGGGAAGGTGGGGTAAGGGCCTTACATTCCTGTTTGCCAGCCTAGGAAACCTCCCTGGAAGTGGAGATGGACTGCAAGTCATCTTCAGAACTCAATGATACAAATCAACCGCTACAGAGACTAAAGTTAGCAATAGAGAGGCCATGATAGAATTTTCTAGTAAAAAAAAAAAAGTTTCTTTTATTCCACAAAATCTTAGCAAAAAAGAAAATGTTGCTAACCAAACCTCTCTGTAACTTTTTTGTTTTGGGTAGATGCAGTATCTTAACTCCATCCAAAAAGGAGAAAGACGTTACTTAGCAGAAGTGTTTGCTTGCTCCCTCCCACCACCTGCAACGTCTAAAGGCTGTGGCAAATGTTAACAGCTACAAGCTAGTAGAAAGCAGATATTTGCCATTTTACCTATCATGATTAATAGGACCTATTCAGCTAGAATAATAAAATTGATTCAATGCCTGGTAAAATGGGATCTGGCCAATTGCCATGTCAATTCCTGGCATTTTCTTTCTCTTTTTTCCTTGGATTTTGCAGTAGCTTCTTTAAAAAAAACTTTTTAATTGACAAAAATTGTATATATTACGGTATACAGTGTAATTTTTGAAATATGCATATCTTGCAGAATAGCTAAATCAGGCTAATTAACATATGCATTACCTCACATGCTTTTGTCATTGTACTGAGAACACTTAAAATCTGCTCTCTTAGCAATTTTCAAGTGTACAATACATTGTTATTAAATATAGTCATATGTTGTATGATAGATCAAAATCCAGAGTCATTCCTTGCTGTCTCTGAAGCACCAACACCCACCAATTTTCCATCTCAAATATCTCTGGGGTGCTGTCGCCTCTGTTCTATCCTTCTTGACATTATCTCTAATTCATTCACTCATTAAAGGCTTACTATGTTGCCTCACTGTGCGAAGGGCTTGTGGCACACAGAGAAGATGAAAACCAATGAAATATATTTGCGAAGTACAAAGCACAGTGGTCATGGTCTATTAGAACCCAGGGCAGTCGATGTGTAGGAGTTTGCGAGCATGAATCCAGGCCTCTTCCCGTCATGGTGCAATTCATCTCTTACTTGAATTATTGGGAAAGCCTCCAGCCATGTATCCATTCTGCCCTCTCCCCTTCTGCCTGAACCTTATTTCTAAATTTCAGATTGTGTCATCTCTCTTATTAAAACCCTTCATGACTCCCTATTATTAAAGAACAAGCTCCAAACTTCTTAATCCTACTTACAAACTTCAAATTCAACTTGACTTTCTTGCTTTTATTCCCCTATAGCACTATTTTGTACAAAACAGTTACTAACCTCACCGTCCATGAAATAGGAAAGGAAAAAACAGAATTAAAGTACCCAGTCTGCCTTAAACATTTGCCATCAGTATCATTTTCAACCTTTCTCTTTCCCCTTTGGCAATTAATTCAATGGATCATTTTCCTAATGATTGCTGTTCACACTCTGCTTAACTGTTTCCAATATCAAGATATTGAATACTTTTGATGAACACAGATAATCAGAGTGTGCTTATTTACCATCCTAATATACTCACAGAGGCTTGATACAAGTACATGGCATATAGTATCAGGCCATGCAGTAGGCAACCAGAAACAAATCCTCATCTTCTGTTCTTAGGAACAGTGAGTCCACCTTTACAGGTGAGTGTGATTTGGGGACAGAATGAGACCCAGGTGGAACCACCTCTCCCTTCACAGAAGTAGGCCAGTGCAACAACATTCATTCACTCATTCATGCGTCAAGCAGTTACTGAGTATGGTCTAATACCATGTGTCCAGAGATGAGCCCCATCCCCAGGAAGCTCCCAGTCTTTTCTGTGGTAAGTTCAGTGATTTTGATCCAAATGCTGAGATCCAGAAAGGAGTGAGCCAGGTCTCTGCTGAGGCAGTCAAAGGGTTAGGAGGGGGACACTTGAAAGGTCCTTAAAGAATGAAAACAATGAATCTTTGATATCAAGAAGTGTATGGGCGTGCATGCGTGCTTGTGTGTGTGTGTGTGTGTGTGTGTGTGTGTGTGTGTATTTAAGGAGTAGGAGGATGGTGGCAAGTGGACAAGAAAGGAATTGTTGCCATAGTAGAAGGAATCAAAAAGAAAAGGTGGTTAAGAAACTATACAATGTGTTTGAGAAATTATGGCAAGTTCAGTGGGACTTGAGAAAGGCAGCAAAGGGTGGGCAAAGGATACAGAGGATACCTTCTTGCTAGAAGGTAAGCAAGATACAGGTTGTAGGGGACTTGTACTTGGGAGCTCAAATTTTATCTGTAAGCAGTGGGGAGCCACGAGAAGCCTCTAAGCAAGGGAGTGACACAATCACATATTTTTTGAATAAAAGTCTGGTGTCAGTAGAGGCATTGGATTTGAGAGGATGAGCTTTTAATTAATGTTTTGAGAGGTGACCATAGCCAAGGAAAACTCCATACCTGCATCCCAGCTAACCCTGCATGTTTGTGTGTGTCTTCCTAGTGACAGTGCTGGCCATTTTCCATGAACTGCACGTCGACCCTGACCTGTACATACTCTTGTTTGGAGAGAGTGTGTTGAATGATGCAGTGGCCATAGTCCTTACATAGTAAGTACCAGAACTTGGCCTGTGTTTCTTTAACCATGTGAAATTTGCTTTCACTTGTATCTTTTCTCTTATGTCATAGAGATACAAGCAGTCTCTTGCTTTTTTTAAGGACTTGTTATCACAGAAGATCTCCAATAATGGGCACAATTCATTAGGCATCTAATTTCTAATATTATTAATGGGTTTTATGTTTCCAGCTAATTACAAGATAATACCTAGAGGGTAGCTTCTTTTTCTCAGTGCATATATTTAGCTGATTCACTTAAGGTTCCTAAAATGCATATAAATGAGCTTTTTTTCATTTCAAATCAATATCATTTAATTTTTTACCTTATATAACTCACTTTCCAGATAATAGACTAATAGAAACCCTTGTGTTTATGGACAGATTGGCAGACTGTAGCCAGAACCTAAGGGTCAGCCTACTCTATTTCTCAGTGCAAATGTAATACTGCATAGGAATGCACACATCTTTACAATATCATATGATCGTTGAAACTGATGGAGCTTCAGTTCAGCACCAGTGTAATTTCCCTTCAGGCCAGAAGGATTTTGGCAGGGGGGATGTAAGCCAACGCTCTTTCCTTACCTCCCCTTTAGACACTTACCATTTATATTTAATAAATGCCACTTTGGTGGCTTTCACTCTGTCAGAGGTCTCTTCTTGGTTTTAGATTAAGACCAATATTTTGGGCAACTGTCAGATATCCCAAAGGAAAGTGGATATCTGATAATTAAATGTGACAAAAAGAGTCTATTCTGGGTGTTAATTACTTCAAACGCCGTTGAAAATGTATTGTGGAGTAACAAAGGATTGTTAAAAGTCAGACCTCACAGAGGGGAGTAGGAAATGACAGAGCAGCACTACTCATTTTTCTTTCTTTTTGCCAGTTGACATTTCTTAAGGCTGCTGCCCCAAAGTTGCCAGTGAATTCAGCAACTTTCAAGTGTGTCTCCACATATATTTCACCTGGCCACAGAGAAGTGTCTTTCATGCTTTAAGGGAAAATATCAGCGAGTGCAAATTAAAAGCAAAAGCCATGGGCAGATTCACAAATGCTAAAGGATGCTTTTAAAGAAACACCAAGAACAATTAATTAAGACATCAGAAATCCCTGTCCAGGAAATACTAGCATTAAAAGAACATTTGGAGCAAAAATTTTTTAAAATGTGCTGAGTTCCTCATTTTTACTTTCTGAGCTGCCAAGTTGGAAAAGGCCAAGCAAAGCAAAATCACTAACGTGCAAATGAGCTTGGGAAGGAATCATGCAGACACAACCAGGGAAGGTTTGGCCTTTCTGCTTTCTGCACTACCATTCACAGTAGTTTTCCATTAAAAAATGCAGACTCTAAAGATAAATGTTGATGCCGTTGAGCACAAGCCTGGGAGCATTTGAAATAGCTCCTCAGGTTAATACATGGTTGATATTGCAGGTGCCTCTCCTGCCCTTCTACCCATGTCTTCATAATGTCTTAGTAAGAAGATGTGTTTCACACCATACCAAGAGCTCTTCCTTTCTAGGAATGAGACATTGCCATTCTAGCTGAAATCTTGTGCTCCTCAGCTTTGGCAATTCTGGTATCGTGCAGTGACTCTAGTGAGTTCCAATATAATAGAAGGGGTGAACCTAAGTAAAAACATTTGACTTCCAAAGCTTACATATTCGAATACTGGCTCTTTCTGAGCTCTACTGAGTGGTCTATAGTGCTGCCATATCCTGGCCCAGGCTGTCCACCAGAGCTGTCTGCTGCTTACCATTTCCTCCTCCTGGTACATTTCCATGTGCCATTCTCTTCACTTCTGCTCAATTGCTCATTTACTTCTTAAAATTAATTTATAGCACACATAATAATCTCTTTGCACATCTATTTACACACACATATTTCCTCTCCTTGCAATGCCTTATCTCCACACATTCTCTTCCAACCATTTTCTGGTTCCCTTAGGAAAGGCATATTTAAATATCATTTAAAGGTTTTCTATGACTTTCAATCTAAAAGCTCAAACATTGTCTCTCCATTTTTCTTTCCCTTCACACTAAACCATGTATGCACCTTGACACAACTCTCTGGGTGGTATCTCGGTGCCTTTGAACAAAGTTCACTCTTCCTGGGCTGCCATCCCCAGCTTCTGTTTCTGCCTAATCAAATCTTTCAACTCTTCCCTCAGTCTCTTCTTTTGGGAACCACCAGACCACAGGCTGAGCTTCTGCTTCACCCCTGCACTGCACTGGATTTACATATATATGTGCCTTTCTAAATAGTAACTTTTTGAAAGCAGAGTCTATGTACTTGAAGTGTGTCTTAAAAGAACAAATGAAAACCTCTTTTGTGTTTTCCTTACTTAGTTCCATCTTTGAGTGGTTTTGAAGTTTAAGAACAGTGACAGAGTTATTCTTGTGTCATGAGAAAAAAAGGTTTCCATTCTGATGTGAAACTCAATCGTTGATGACTATGGCCCTTGGCCAAGCCCCCAGAGCCCCTCTGAAATAGCCACATATTTTTATTTACCTTCCCATCTTCTGCCAGCAAACCTCCTTGCTTAAGAACCATCTTTTTTAGTTTTAGAATTTTTACACTTTTATAGTATTGTGGCAATACTGTGCTCTAGTGTGTAGCCGCATTTTAGATTAAAGCAGGTTTTCTTTGCTAATCTAAAAAGCAAATGATTAATTATAATACTGTTTATCAGGTTAAATGTGCTCTGAATTTTAGTTACCTAACATAATTAAATTTAATGGCCACAGCTCTGGTGCATAGCAGCAGGTGGTGTGTGCTATATCATGTTCTTGTGATTTAAAATGATCCAGAATTGTTTGTGCTAAAATGCAAGTAATTTTATTTAACATAAAAGTTTTGAAATTAGTTTGTCCCTAACCCATACCATTATTTCAAGCAGAGAGGGAATGTCATGCCCAAACATGTATGCATACTGCCTCACAAATGAATTCCATGTGATAGATTTACATTTCTAAATGTTACTTAGTAGGCTGTGAAGGAAGGCAAAAGATATATGGAAGAGATCTCAAGGGGTGTGTGTTTTTGAATCCTGAACAAAAACATTGATTTCAGAGGCAGCATGGTAGAGTAGAAAGAAGCCTAGGTTAAAAAGTCACAAGATCTGGTGTCACGATTGCCACTAATTAACTGTGCAATTACTACGGTTGACAGGAAACCAACCCAAACTGAAGTAAACAAAAACAGAATCTGTATTAGCTGATGTAACAGAGCAGCAGTAACAGAAATGGCTCAGTCAAGGATCCAATGAAATGAACAGGAATCTTTCTTCCCTCAACTTCATGGTTAGCGCCCTCTTCTGGTTACAAGATGGCTGCCAGCATTTCCCCGGGCTGTCTCTCTCTTTACTTGTTCTACCATTTTGAATTTTTGTTCCACCATTCCCAGACTAAATTTTAGTGCCTTTTATAGATTCGGATGCAGTTTCTCTTGGAAGAATCGCTATGACCAGTAAAACGTACAGCATTTATTGGCTCGAGTCTATGCCACCTGCTCCGTGAGTTCAAAGGTATAATCAGCCTCATTGGTAGCACATGAGCTGAGACTGGGGCAAGGTGGAATTACTGCTCAGCTAATACTGCCATGTTAAAGGAAAAGTGGATGCTGGATAGAAACGCAACAAAACAAAACCTAGATCAGGGGTCCTCAACCCCCAGGCTGTGGACTGGCACGGGTCTGTGGCCTGTTAGGAACTGGGCCACACAGCAGAAGGTGAGCAGTGGGCCAGTGAGCAGAACTGCCTGAGCTCCGCCTCTGTCAGATCAGTGGTGACATTAGAGCCTCACGGGAGCGCTAACCCTACTGCGCATGCGAGGGATCTAGGTTGCACACTCCTTATGAGAATCTAATGCCTGAGATTGCCTTTCATCCCGAAGCTATCCCCTCCCACAATCCGTGGAAAAATTGTCTTCCTCGAAACTGTTCCCTGGTTTCAAAAAGGTTGGGGATTAATGACCTAGATGCCCACTACAGTGATTTTGTATGGCCATAAACTCCCTGTGCTTATTTATCTTGAAAATGTGAGAATAGTTGTTCTATAAATATCACAGAATTATTCTGAGTAATAAATAAAGTTATGCGGTTAGAAAGGCTCTGTAATCGACATAGCCTATGCTATATAAATATAAATATAATTTATATCCTTATTTATATCAATATCTTTCATTCTACTTACAGAGATCTCTCTGGTTTTATTAAAATGACTAAAGATAAACCTGCTTCTAGTGAAGCATTTCTTCATAGATATGACATTTTATGATCCAGGAAACATAGAGAATAACCATTTTTACACCTGATTTCCACTATTAGGAATGAATCACTTAGTTAAGACACACTGTCTGAAGTTGATAAATGAAGAAATAGAGGTTGAAATATTAATATGTTACTTAAAGTTATGAAGGTGCTCACAACCAAAACCGATATTTCTTGTGGAAGTTAAGCAGCGGAAAAAGGGAGAAGGAAAGGAAGCGAAAAGATGACTAAAATTCTACACCTGGCACGCTAGGAAACCAAACGATGCTGTGTGGAGTTGCTGAGTCGAGAAATAAAAATGTATGCATATTGTTAAGAGTCATAGAACAACAATCAGAAGAAATAAAAACACAAATGGTCAAAATCAGATACCTTTGCTGTGTGGGATCATGACATAGGCAAAGGTTGAAAAATAATTTAACTCTTTGTTTTATACTCTTCTCTGCTGTCCGAATGTTTTTAATGTGTTTGAATTAAATTTATTTATATCTTTTTTGAGTGATCAAGATATCAAAAGCCCATTTATTTGATGACAGTAGAGTCAAACAATCTTAGCAGGCAAAAACAACTATTAAAAAATTAAATGACGAATGATAAACCAAGGAAAACCTTTTCAACGCACATGTTGATCAGCTAATAGTCTTTGTAATATATATGATGAATTGCTAATCACATTACTATACCTAATTCATTATTTACATTACCTTGGGCAAGTTGCTCAATCCCCCTGC